TTGGCATCACCAGTATTAAAAATCTCTTTGATATCTAAAGAGATGGATGAACTGAAATCAGTTTATCTGATAACTGTGCTGCCTGACATTCAGCAAGGGCTGGCAGCATCCTGCAGGTGATGGCCTTTGGGCTTCAGCATGCAGTCCCATGGTCATCACACCCCAGGTCTGAGCATGCGTACATGTCCTCTGGCCCTGCAGGAATTTGTTGTGTTTTCTTGACCTCCCCTCACCCCATGCATTGGAAGTGATGGGTTTCCAATCCTTACTAAAACTAGGATTAAAAGTTTAATTTAAATATGTGCTACTAAAAGGGACTCTCCCTAGTTGTGAATTCCTGGATATATGAATCTATCACAGTATTGATAGAGTCAATGGTAGTATTGGAGTTCTACTCTCACATCTCTCCAAGGAGTATAAGATATGAGTAGAACACAGTACAGAAGGATGAGCACCACATTATTGATAAGGCCCTCTGAGATGCAGAAAGGGCTGTGTTGCTTATTATAAGTTGCTCATATGTACTGAATCTGATGTTTTCTATAATTCATAGCTGAGCATATTGTGCTAGGCTGCCTGACAACCACGATGATATTAGAGTCTTGTTTCTTGATGCATGGTCACTGTCCAGCTCTTAAAAAGTCAGCGTCTGTCATAAACAAATTCTGTTTCCAATAAAGTACTATCACTTTTAATATCTGGAACATTAGAATCAGGTTGGTCTTGGGCAAGGCTTCTAACTTTTATATTAAATAATGTTCTCTTCCTAAGAAGATGAAGTCTCTCAGGAAGGATGGTCTTCAGCTTCTTGAATTGATAATTTCAGAATTCACAGATTTTATACCAAAGAGAAAATTATAAGACTAGGGAGCATCAAACAGTAATACAACAATCATGGAGACATGGGAGCAACAGACACACCTAACTTGAATAAAGAACATCAATGAGAACAACAATCATGGTGACATGGGATGACGGAGTACACCTAATATGATGTTAGAGAATTAGAGATCATTGTGGGGAAGAGTTTTTTGTTAAGCTAGTAAGGACGTAACAGTACATGGAGTCAGTATGAACACAGTCAGGAAGAACAAATTTGAAAAGGACCTAACACATCCAAGGCATGTGGGAAAGGGAAAGCAGAGCGATGACCAGGGAGTGTGTGGTGAGTGGGAGACCAGGCAAGGAAAGCAGGTTAGAAGCTTCTTCATTGTTTACTGTGTACATTTAGTTCTTAATCAACATGTATTAATTGTGCTTATTAATAAGTATGGTTGGAAACAGAAGCACAATCTCACATGCACCAGCTGAACTAGTTAGCTAGCACTTACTTCCCTCCCCTTACCACTTCTTCATTTTTACAGCCTCCGGGGATCTCTCTTTTATGTCCTCATAAAATATGTAATAGCTTATTGTGAATTATAGTCACTTGGTGTGCTTGGAAAACCACAACTTATTTCTCTGTTTCCATACTTATTACCCAACTTCCTTTGCTCCTTTCCCTTCTTGCCTTCCTAAATCTGTTTTATTTCACTGGACATGATGCCTGCTGGTTTCATTCATTTTGCTGAATTGACAGGGTTTCATTCTTCTTTATCACTGAATAATATTTCACTCTGTGTTTGGGGTGATGACACTTCCTTTATCCATTTATCTGCAAACTGGAGCTAGCTCCATATCTCAGCAATGCGAATGCTGCTGCCATATCCCACGAGTGCCAGAGTCTCTTTAGCATGATAATTTCATGTCCTCTCAGCTGTATGCCTCATTGAAGGAACACAGGATAATATGATGGCTCTACTTTTAGTTCATCAAGGGGCTTCCATGATGGTTGTAATAATTTCTATTTCTACTAAAAAGGTATTCAAGCTGCTTTTTCTATAGATCCCTGACAACAATATTTTTTTCACTTTTTATGTTATTGGTAAAGTCATTCTAACCAGAATTAGGATATCTCCTTTGTAGTGTTTTCTAAGGGATGGCTAAAGGTGTTGGTAATTTTGTTTTCATGTAATTGTTGGACATATGTGGAGATGGTTTTATGAATTTATTGTGTGAACACAGAAAAAATGTCAAGATTTTCAAGTGATTAAACATGCAATTAAACAACTACAAAATATTAGAATCTTGAAACTAAAGATCGGTGAAGAAAAAATGGCAGAAAAACTGATGACATGGATATTGCTTAATACATAGGGCAACATTCTGTCTAACCAATCAAGAACTAGCCAACCATACAATTAACCAATCAACAAACAATAAACAACAAGGAACAAACAACTAACAAGTAACCAAACAATAGCCAACCAATCAACAACCAAACAACCAATAACCAACAAAGAACCAACCAAATACCAACCTACCAACCAACTAATAAACAACTAATCCATCAACAATCAACTAACAACCAACCAATAACCAACCAAAAACCAACCAAAAACAACCAACTAATAACCAAACAACAAAGAACAACCAACCAACCAATAAGCAACCAACCAACAAATAACAACCAGTCAACCAATAACAAACCAATAACCAACCAACTAACAAAAAAACAACCAAGCAACAACCAGTAACTAACAAACCAGCAAACAACAAGCAATCAATAATCAAGCAAGCAAGCAAGCTAACAAAAAACAACTAGCCAACCAACTCAGATACTTTTCTGCATGTAAAATGAGGACTACAGTGTGTCATAGAGATGGGGTAAGTGGCTGCATTTCAAATCAGAAAATTAGGTTTAAAACAACAAAGTAATTGCAAAAAGAAGGTAAAAGTGAAAGAAGGAGAGAGAGAGAGAAGCACAAAGAAAGGATGTATGTGGGAGGACTCTTACAAAGACCCACCTCTGGATGAAGAGATACAGGCAATCAGTAAATGCTGAGAGAGGGAGAATCTGTTTCTTCCAGGGCTGAGCTCCTAGACAGGGTCTCCAATCCCATGTGGTCATCTCTAAACACAGGATCATATGAGAAATATTAAATGAGTTCAGTAGGTTGAATACATATATGCATATTTGCACGTATGTATATATAGTAGTAATTAAAGAATAAAAGGTCATGATTTTGGAGGGATGGAGGACATAGAAATTGAAAGTGGAAAGAAGGAGTGGAAATTATGTAATATTGTACTTGTGTATGAAATTTTCAAAATTTAAACTAAAAATAAAAATGGAATGCAAAACAAAAACTTGATAGTTATATAGTTGTATCTAAAAAATACATGATATTTGTGTAACATTACAAGTTAATTGAAATAAATTCAAGTAGATCTAAGCAAAAGGAGAGACAGATTGTTGATTCCTGAGAACAATGTGATTGAGACATGAATTTATCCAGAACTAGAGTGCATTAAGTCTAAGGGCCAAATGCTCTGTGCTTCCCTTTCCAAGCATCCTTTTACAGGGCAGAGAAGCTGCTTCTAAAATTTATATTGAAAATAAAAATAGCTCATACAACTGAAATGACTTTTACAAAGAAGGACAAAGTTGGAAGCCTAACATTGACAGTGGCCACTACTGAGAGAGTGGTAGCCATGTGTGTGGGCAAATGTCAGTGACTCAAAGTGTCAGAAACATAGATGATTATTTTTGACCAATTCTTGACAAAGTACTAACATAACTTATTGGAAAAATGTAGTTTACATCAACAAATCATACTGAAACTATTGAAACCTGATAAATGTTTAAAAAGCAACTAAACAAAAAATAGCAAATTCTTCTCACATGTAAACCATAAAAATGCAAAGCTGTTAGTATAGCTATGAAACCTAAGCATGTCAGATTTTCATATACCGTGTCACAAAAAAGAAGATATATCTGAGAATATTTTAGATAAGTCATTATAATGATAGAAAAATTGATAAGAAGGATTGTATTGAAATGACAAGTCTTTGGTCTTTTTGAAAAGGCACTGCTGAGCGGATCACTGGTGAAAGAATGTCATTGCAAGCTCACATTAGATTCTATCTAGAGCCAAAGCGCTCTCACAACTAAATTATAAAACAATATGAAAACACTTCAGGAAGGAAAAAGCAATGATGCCAAATATGCACATCAGTAATCCGGCAGTTAAAGACTACGGTTAATAACAAAATGCATCAAGCACACCCAACCTTGCGTGGCTAATGCCCTAGGGATCTAAGCATGCGTTGTCAGGTCTGACTTCATGTGGTATACAGAACAAGCACAGTTTGTCCTTAGGTCCAAGAGTCAGCCTCTTACATTTGAGCATAAGAGAAAGAACAACAAATACGCAGGGCTCAGAATTGTTTTAATTCTCATCCCCAGAGCTCTAAAGAAGAGTAGCTCAAAGGTTAACAGCTCGCCTCCGCAATATCAAATTTATTACACAGAAGTGAACAAGAGTGGGTTACAGGTAACCAGAGCAGTATGATCCCTTTTCTTTGATGTTCTGGGAGAAGTAGCCACAGAATTGAGGTCAGTGAAGGCAAGTGCTGAGCTGGGGAAAGGACATTGCTACAAGGAAGTGTCACAGCACATTCTGGACTGTGGGGAGGTGCTGTAGGGAAGGGGTTGTGTTTACACTAGTACATGCATTTACTAAGATTCACTGACTGATAACATAAACAGACTATTTTCTGTTAGGCCTCAATTAACTTGACTTCAAGGATACGATAGCAGCCACTGAAGTGAAATATTGTGGCTTGAACTAGGAATGATGGAGGATGATCAATGGTAGATAATTCCAAGACAAAAATTTAGCAATATCAGATGAGTAGCCTGCTATGTCTATATTCAGGGCAACAGCTATTTGCTTAGATAAAGCAAAGCTCTAAATCTGAATACAGTTCTCTGTACATCTGGATACATCGCTATGTCTAAAGCCAAAGCGAGACGGTTGCATTTTGTGACTGGGATGCTCAAACAAGGGAAGAACTCTTGCCACCCGCTAAGAATAATTATCTTTCCGGGGAGAAATGCTGTACCAGCTTCCAGGCAATCACACTAACCTAGGGAATTAGAGCGCAGCCGGTCCTACCTGGCTTGAGATGCGCGAATGGATCTCGCTGGTGAGGAGCTCCTACAGGGCATAGCTGAAGACGGCGGCCTTGACGGTGTAGCGTGCACTGTGAACACCTCCGGAGCCATCCAGCGCAGGTTCTGCACAGACCAAAGGTGACCCAGCTCCGAGCCATGCTGCAGAGCTGGCTTCTGAGCCTGCACTGGAGGTTTTCCAAAGCTCTCAGACAGCATGGGCGGGAAAACGACAGCAGCTCTGCTCCTCAGCACATGTTTATGTGTGTGGTTAGTTTCTCAAGAAAACAAAATGGCTGGAAGATCACCCATACTCTACAAGACACCTCCAACGTTAATGATAAATGCGGGCCTCACAGCTGTAGCTGAGCACTCTCTCTCCTTCCTGCTCCCTACCGCCTTCTCTGCCATAGGTACCTGCAGGCTCCAGAACACACCACCAAGTGGCTCATCCCGGTAGTTCCCCTGACCTCGCCCTGTGGGGGGGCACCTTCCTGTTTCAATCTCTGGGTTCCAATTAAGTGAGTAACTAAATTAGAACTTAACTGTGTTCTCAAGACAGAGCGGCAGAGGGAGCCGCAGAGAAGCCATCCACTATGCCTGTGAGGAAGAGTTCTCCCTGGTAAGATCTAGGATCTGGGTTTTCCTGTGTTTACCCTGGTGTGAGTTTTAGGAATTCAGTGTCTGCAATATTTCAGGAAACAAGCTAATAAATATGTTGCTAGGTACCCCCATCCCGGCTCCGTGCGCCCGCGCACTGTGTCTCTTCCACGTGGTGGCGTGAACTACATGCTTCATATTAGTGATTAGAAGCACAAATACATTAATTCAATTTCTTTGCAGTTCAAAGGCCAGAACATCAGATTCCGCCTCATGAAAAGACAGCTGCGACTCCGACTCTCCCATAGACCGGGAGATTTCTCCCTGGAGCCTCCCAGCACTGGACTGCGCTAGTCAACTTCCCAATCGCCTGCCTATGGACAATAGGGAAGCGGTGTTCCTACAAAAGCCCTGGGAATAGTCCTGCCTCTGATAATTCTCCCGACAAATCTGCCTTATGCTGGAATCAGGGAGACTTCCCGGGACCGCCTTCATCCTTGGCCTATCCCACCTGGTTCCCCTGCGTGAGCTTCTGTGGTCCAAAGAGCCTAAATTCTCAGAGACTAGACGTGTCATTGCAGTGCAAGGCGGAGAGCAGGCTGATAGTGCGGGTGCTTGATGAGGGGAGGAGGAGCACAAAACAATTAAGGAGCTTAGGTGCGGCCTTACAACTAGTTGAAAAAGAACAGGACACCCAGAATAGTTCTAGAGGAGTGCTGTGCTTAAAGCTATGCTTCGAAGCAAAGACAATTAATGTTGCTCACTAAGGGTGAGAGTTAGTTTAATTCTATCCATCAGAAATGCCTTAGTGGGTGGAGCCAACTATCTACACTGTCAGAACAAGGTAAGATTAAGGTACCCAAGAGCCACCTGGGCTAATTCAGCCTCAGCCTTTATATGTCACAATCAGACACCATTTTTTTTAGAAAGCTAAGGTTATTAAATTAGTGCAGCCAGGGCTGTGATCCCTTGATAAAGCTTCCTCTTTGCCTCAGGGCTTAGATGAGACTTGTTATCCCTCCCCAAAATGACACAGGTCACCCTCCTCACCCACTCCAGACACAGTGTTTGAGCAGCCCAAGAGCCTTCCTGCCTCAGCCACTGGACCGACCATATCTCAGCCTTCAGTGCCCGCCAACCACAAGGATGCTCTCCCGTCTGGTCTCTTAGAAATCATGGCATTTCACTCTTAACTATCTGTGGGCCTACCAAGCACCCTGCTTACGTTTACTGCTTTAATTTTTCTTAAAAACACACATGGTCACTTTTGTTTGCTCATGTGTTCACTGTCTGTTTCCTTTTGATGGGATATTAGCTGGATATGAACAAGAATTGTCTCAGTGCCTATGTGTGGGGCCAGAGGTGATGTCAGGGTCTGCCTCAGTCATCTGTACCTTATCTGTTCAGATGGGGCCTCCCATCGAATCTGGAGATCACCATTTCAGACAAACTGGCTGTCCAGTTCATGTGGGTTTCCTAGTAAGGGGAGCAGAGGGCACAGGGTTCAGGGTGTTTCTAACATGGACTCTGTTGCTTGCTTTTTGATCACTTCCCCTTTCCAGGCCACAGGGAAAGCGGAATTGCTCAGTCCTGATGCATCTTGATGTGGTGGGTTGAGGATTCCCCCTTTTCTAAGGAGTAGGGGAGGAAGGATGGGTGTGAGAGAAGGAGGATGGGACTGGGAAGAGAGGAACAAAAAATTTAAAAAAAAATGAAAAAAAAAACCCACAACAACAAAACTCCCAGGAAAATAAGGAAGGAAGGAAGGAAGGAAGGAAGGAAGGAAGGAAGGAAGGAAGGTGCAAGATAGTTAAGAATCTGTGGTCCTGCCAAGTAATTAAGAGGTACTGACATCATTTCTGTGGGACCTCCAACTAGATCTTGTGAGAGCAAGGCTGGCCCCTCCCTTTTTTCCAGCTTCCTGTTTGGCCATGTCAGCTTGGCATACACATATTCACACTGTTGTACATTTGCAGGTTGTGGTGCAGATTGGGAGTGTTCTCACTGGAAGGCAGCACGTGGGCTTCTAGTCCCCCAAACAGTGAAATAAACCATTTTTCTTCGTAATATAACTAAACTTGGGTGTTGGCTAACCGTGGGAAATCGCATATTACAGGGTAGAACTGGAGAGCATCACCACACTTACAGAGCGACTCACGATGAGAGTCTTGCCTCCCTCTCTCCATCCTTCCCTCTTTCTGTCTCTTCCTGTTACCCCTCCCCAATGGCACATGACAATGATGCCAAGCTGTTTGTAACATTCCAATACAAGTGTCTTCTCATCCATTCCTTGCCCTTATTTATGCTGATCCTTCTGTATGCCCTTCCAGCTTCTCCATCATTTGATGAATGCCTCTTCACCCTGTTGAGGTCTCCTGATGCTTCGTGAAATGACCATGGTGCTTTAAATCTGCCTGTTCATTCCTGTGCTGGCCCCCCTGGCAAAGGAGCTCCTTGCAATTAAGAATTAAATTAATTCATGTTTTGCATTTCTGTCTCTCTGAGCAACTACTAACACATGGTAGGCCACCAGTAAATGCTTTTTGAATGAATCAGAGTGCACACAAAAACTTGGAGGGAAAAGACAAAAAGAAAAGTGCCTAATAGAGGCAAGTCTCCCTGAGCCTTACAAGATAAAGCATTTTCATGCAGGATTCACGTAGTGAGGGCCATAGACAGGGTTTGCCATACCAAAAATGTCCAGGGTTGTGCAAGTGGGCAGTGGACATGGAGAAAAGATGGACGTTGATGCAAGAGGCTTGAAACATCTTGTGGTGGAAAAAGAACGTGACAGAGCAGTCTGGGACAAGAACAGAAGGAGACAGGCAGAAAAACCCAGAGAAAGAGATTTGAATTGTATTGTGTTGGCATGGCTGAGTGTGAGTAATGACCACCCAGAAACAGTAGAGGAGGCATTGAGGGATGAGGACCAAACCAGGAGGGCCTGGAGACAGGTGCCATCTCCGTGCATTAGGGTCTGAGGCAGTGGGAACATGCACCAAAAACGTAAAAAAATGCAAAGCTACAGATTGGGGTGAGTAATGCCAGAGCAAGATCAGGGGATAGGAGGAGCTTACTCTGAGGGGGAGCAGATGCATCTGGAGTCCAGGGAGAAGCAGCACTGCTCGTTTTAGGGTGTAGGGGTGATGGGGGAGTCAGGGATGAAGTGATTAGCAGGCACTCTGGCACCAATTTTATGTTAATGCTCACCTATAGGACTTGCTACCTTATAACACTAATGGGAGAACGATGAATAGTGAGTGGCTGCTGCTGAGCCACTGGTGTAGAACTATAGCCTCCCACCTGTTAGTAAACCCACTCATGCTCATTACCTGTGACAGCCAGTGACTTGAGCCTGCCTGGCGTTTATAGGAACACCTAAAACTTATCCTACCAGCTAGACAACGACATTTCCTGGCTAAGGCTACTCCTGCTGTCCTTCCCCCCTTGCTGAGTTTACACATTTTGATTGTTTAACAAGAACAAGAGAGCCACAAACCCCTGGCTGTTTTGTCATGTTGTCTTCATCCAGTGACTGCAGAAATCTTGATTCTAAAGAAAAGAGAAAACAAGTCCATGTCAAAGGAAGTGTCCCAAAGCCTGTGTCCAAGGTCATAGCAAAATTTGGAAAATCCAGGAAGCCTTTGTGTTATTTAAATTTTCACTTCCCTCTTTTCAGCCTTGATAGCAAAGGCAAATACACGTGCAAATGGCTTGCTTTTTAAGTGCAAGGTCAAATTGAAATTTAAATAACAGAAATACCGAAGGTGTGAAATCTGTTTTCAGATTATTGTACAATATCAGACCACAGGTATGAATGAAGAAAGAATGCTGTTTAGGGTATGTTTCTGGAACTCTTTTTTTTTTCTTTATTAATTACACTTTATTCACTTTTTATCTCCATTGTGTTTCTCTCCCTCCTCCCATCCTAATCCTTCCCTTCCTCCACCCTCTGCATGCATGCCCCTCCCCAAGTCCACTGATAGGGGAGGTCTTCTTTTCCTTCCTTCTGATCCTAGTCAATTAGGTCTCATCAGGAGTGGCTGCATTGTCTTCTTCTGTGGCCTGATAATGCTGCTTCCCCCTCAGGGTGAGGTAATTAAAGAGCAGGCCAATCAGTTCATGTCAGAGACAGTCCCTGTTCCTATTACAATGGAACACACTAGGATACTGAACTGCCATGGGCTACATCTATGCAGGGGTCTTAGGTTATCTCCATGCATGGTCCTTGGTTGGAATAGCAGTCTCAGGAAAGATCCCTGTGCTCAGATTTTTTGTTTCTGTTGCTGTTCTTGTGGAGTTCCTGTCCTCTCCAGATCTTGCTGTTTCCCACTTCTTTCCTAAGATTCCCTGCACTCTGCCCAAAGGTTGCCCATAAGTCTCAGCATCTACATTGATAGTCTGCAGTGCAGAGCTTTTCAGAGGTCCTCTGTGTCAGGCTCCTGACTTGTTCCCTCTTTTCTCCTTCTTCTGATGTCCAGCCTCTTTGCTTTTCTGGATAGGAATTGAGCATTTTAGCAAGAGTCTTCCCTCTTGATTAGTGCTATCAGGAGCAGTCACCTGAGTTAGATCCCTGAAATCCAAGTGTTAAAGTATATGAGCAAGTCCTGCAAGTTATCCTCTGGTCTTCACACGTGCTTTGTGACCTGTGTGTGTATACACCTCCAGCTGCCCTCTCGCTAAATACATGTAAAAAAATACATATACATATATGTGTGTGTTTGTGCTGGCAAAATGTTTTTGTGGACTGTGTACAGTTTATTCTTGTTCATTCAAAAGATGATTTCTCTATTGCACTATCACTTTCCATCTACACATGGTATTATAATGTCAATAATAAGTATTTCCTGTCTCAAGTTTCAACATGCCCACCATTTGTTCTCTGTTCTACCAATAAACGCCAGCCAGCCTATCCTGAGCAATACAAAGAATAAGATAGGACATCCGGAATCAGTGAGGGGTGGAGAAAATATAGAAGAAAAAGGAAAATGAGCCACAAGGAAAGGACCAGGAAACAACAGGAGGAATAAACCAGAGGTAGGAGATGATTAAAAAGCAAGTATGACTGGGATAGCTGAATAGGAGGAAACCAGACTAGCTTGGAGGTTTAGAATGAAGTAATTATTTCTCAGTATTATGCTCTAGGGAAGTTAAATAAATCATAGTCTCTCTGTTCTTATTTGGTAAAACATCTGGTTAAAGAGAAATTGCTGTATTACTAATAATATAAATCAATATTAATTATTAATAGCCATTATACATATTTATTTAAAGTACTTTAGAGAAGGTATTCTGGAACCACAATACCATTTTAATACAGTGGAGTATATCTGAGACCTGTTAAATTGTGTGAGGTAAACTACAGTTTAAAGAGTGAGCAAGGTACCAAAACCATGCTTCAGCCCAGAACTCTAGAAGACCAGGGAGTGTGTGAAATGTTCTTAGCACAAAAGAAAAGGGAAGCATGTGAGGACATTGCACATGTCAATCGACCAGCTTGGCTGTTATCATTTCTATGTGCAAGTGTTACACCCAGTTCAGGAGCCCCCAAAAGATCTACAGGAATCGACTACGTTGCAAAACACATGAGGGTCTTTTTATTGTAAATTACAAGCTGCAGCTTGGGCCCATAACACCCACTGCAGAAGCGGTGGGAGCTGAGCACGCTGCGTCCAGGTTAGTTGGGTGATATATAAATTCTGGTACATCCCAGCATGCCCAAGGCAGGGGCAATTCCTGCCTGGCAAGCATCTATTGGTCAAAATGCTACATTTTGAATTGATTGGCTATAGGAAGGTCCCCAGACCATAATGACCTGGTGTCCCTCCCTAGGGGAATGGGCCAGTTTCCTAGCAACTGTTATCTCTAGTGGGTGGGGAAAGAATGCAGTAAGGTGGTCCTTCCCCTCAGGACATAACCCACCTAGTTCAGGCCTTAATTAATAATAACTGTTAATTTTTAATCTTTTTGGTCTCTCACATCTACAAAACACATCCCATACCCAAGGCTCAGGGGTCAGAGCAAAGAGGAGACAAAAAGACTGTAAAAGCCAGAGGAACATGAAGGCTTCTATGAGACTGTATCTCCTTAGAAATGCCAGGAAGGGGGTAGGCACGAAGTCTCATCAACATAGCTGCCTAACCAAGACCTGAACAAAGACTATACACTGGGGATTTTGGTGTATGCACCTAATGTTGAGTCTGTGTTTGGCTGGTGGAGGAGGCATTTCCAAGTCAGGAGGTAGCTATCACAGGTTTGATACTCAATATGAACAGATAATCCTCTTTGATTTATATAATGCTTCCTGATTCTCACTTGGCTTGCAAAAACATTAATTTTAAAAGCCTTTGGCATTGTGAATGACTTTGGAGAATAGGCATAATACACTGTAAATGCTAAAATTTAATGTGTGATGAGAGATGGTAGAGTATAGGAATATTTGAGGATGTCAAAAGAGGGAGGTTGAATATGCCCAAGGAGGAATTTGACCTATATTCTGCTCTGTGAATTATGGTAGGGGAAGGAGGGTATCTCAGGGCAAGGTTTGAATCTATTTCACTGATGACCCTCTAGCATCTTCACTATATTGTTTTACATATAAAAATGTTCAATACATGTTTATTGAACAAATAAGCAAATAATAAGCAGATATTTTTATGTTTTGTTTATTGAATAAGCAAAAAAATTATTGCTTGCTAAATACCACTCATCAATCTACAAATTAACATTTAAGATTCAGAGAATGGTGAGGTGCGCAGACGTTAGGGAGAATCTACTTTGGTTCCTCCAGAAGGGTGGAAAGCTCAGAATTATGGTGTATCCATTCCGACTGAAGAGCTGTAGAGTGTTAACCTAGAGTTCATTTTTTTTTTTAGGTTATCATCTCAGATGTTAAAACAGACCCTGGCAAACAGTAGGTGCTCAAAAAGTGTGTATTTTATGAGTTGTGCCTATGTGCTTTCCCCCGAAGCATGATATTTACTTGCTTTCTGATAGCATGCCACTCTAGAAAATGCAAAGTGTACATGTTACGGGTGTCATCTCATGGAATTCATTATCTGCTAATAAAAAAAGATGACTGTTTTCCAAGAAAATAGCGTGGGTTAAGAACAGGATAGGAGGGAGACTGTGGAGGTCAGTCAGATATTACATCTACAAATACGTACTGAGATTTTGTCACATGCTGGGAAATTCTCCATTGAATCAGGCAGGTTGGGGCTGGGCTCAAAGTGCAGGGAGGAGACCAAGAAGGAAGACACTGAGAAGAGAGGTAATCAAATCTTTGGAAGATCTTGGCAACAGCAAGAGTTGTGTGTGAGAGAGAGGAATTATAAAAGTAGACCTTATTAAATGAAAGAATGCATACTAGAAAATAATGGGATACTTGCATAAAAATAATATTGAATTGTGAAGATTAGAGAGGCCTTCTGAATGATCAATAACAACAGTCTCAGGGTTGAGTATGCCCAGAGAAAAACGTGCACTAAGAACTGAGGCCAGCCAGGACCTCAGAGTTGCCATCACTGTCAGTAATGAGGCTGAACCTATCTGAAAGTCACAGTCAACTGCCAGTTTTCAGGTGTGTGGACACTGTAGGAATCAGAGGCAGTGATAGAGAAGAAGGAATACAGTGAGAGGTGGGAACACTGTAGCAACCAGAGGCAGTGATGGAGAAGAAGGAATACAGTGAGAGGTAGGCAAGTGCTACCAAAGTCCTTTGGTGGGCAAGCACCTATCTGTTCTCCAGAGTAACACTGGAGTCTGTACTAGAAACCCTTGTTGCAAGGGAGAAACAGACGCACAGAGGGACTAAGTCAGATGCCCCCATCTCTGCGGCTAAGTGTGAAATCAGCACGTCAACTTCAGTCTTCAGTCAACCAAGGAAAAACCCCCAAATACCCAATTTCAGTACTGAAGTGAAGGGTCAGTGGGAGCCAGTCTAGTATATCTTTGTACCAGTCTGATTCAGTAGGCACAGAGCAATCCTGCTTCTCCCCAGAGCTGCTCTGATGTCAGGGCTCTGCCAGGAATATGTAGATAAGGGAGAAGCAGTTGCTAAGAGCAGAAGACCTGGGAAACTAGCCAAATTGGTGTGAGGGCCAGGAAACTATCATCAGCATCAGAAGCTAGAAAGGAAAGACAGATCTGGGATTTCTGGGCCTCCCCCCACTCCTGTAGATCATCTGTGAGGCATTTTGTACGGGATAAAGCCTCATGTGTCCTAGCTGAGGGTCGTGTTTGGAAGTATGGTAACACCTAGAATAGAACTGTTTTTACTATGAGGTATTTTTACCACTCAGCTCTGAAGAGTTTCCTTCCATCCCTACTGTCAGACTTTGCAGAGCTACTTTAACTGAAAGCATGGCTTCACCTCACCTAAAACAAACCTTTGTTCCTGCAGTTGCAAGGATACTGTAATATCTGGACTTGGTACTGGCCTTGTCTTTAACCATGAAGCAAAAGACTTGAGTCATTGTTTACATAATAGAATATTTGTGTCTTTGAAGTGCCTGCTCTTCACAGATTACTCCTCCAAAGCTCTTTTAAGCTCA